TTATTATAATTATTATAATTATTTCTAATTTATAATTATTATCATAATTATTTATAATTATTATAATAATGTGTTAAAAAAGATAATTATTTCGAACGTCCAATTTATCTAATGTCTAATTTATAACATAATTATTTCGAATATATAACATAATAATTTATAAAAAAAAAAAAAAATTGTCCGGCCGACGAAACCGGACGACTTTTATGCCGGCCGGCCGGACAATTTTTTTTTTCTTTTTTTTTTTTACTTTTTGGAAAAAAATGTGAATGGCAAAATTGTCCAAGGTGGCGGTGCGTAGTAAAATGGGGGCGGTAAATAGTACCATTTTTTTTAACTCAACTCAACCATTATTAATATTGTTAATGTAATTAAATAATATCTACCAATCATTTTTACACATCACATCAATCTTAATTCACTATTCATTCACTCACATAATTTTAATTAACCATCACTTCAAATCATCTCCACATACTTTTACATCAAATCAACTTTAATTATTTTATTTTAAATATTATTTTAATATATCAACTAACAACTAACTATACCATCTTTTTCTAAATTAACCAAACCAAGCCAAAAAATCCAAACAAATTCAAAAAATTTTATATCCAAACATTAACGTCTGCGCTACTGTGCAATAATTAGCCCAAACATGTTATTTCTCCATTTCCACACACATGATACGAACACACAGTTTTGCAATAATAAATGGTTAAAAATACACATGTGGATAAATGAAGCTATTCATGTGGAACTGTAGAGGGTTGGGTGGACCCTCTACAGTTTCACAACTTAAGGAGTCATCTCGACTCCACCACCCAAGTTTTGTGTTTCTCTCTGAAACAAAAAAAACAAATAATTTTATTAGATCAGTTTGTAATAAGACTGGATTCAAGGATAGATGGTTTGCTGTGGAACCCCAAGGGCTAAGTGGAGGGCTGCTTGTCATGTGGGGCAGGAATGTGGTAGTCATCCAAATTATTAGTAACTCTTTTTGTATTCAGATGGAAGTTAAAGGGATTGGGGAAGAGGCCTCTATGTGGTTGATTTTTGTTCATGCAAGCTCAGAAAGGAGAGAGAGAGTTAATCAATGGGGTTTTTTGGAGACAGCTCGAATTAATTGGGGTAGCAGGTGGATTATTGGGGGGGACTGGAATGAAGTGTGTGATGCTAGTGAGAAATCAGGAGGAAGAATTAAGGCCGATTGGGAGTATAGAGGATTTAATGAATTCATCTCCAGGATGGGAATGCAAGAACTTCAACTTATTGGTCACCCTTTCACATGGGCAAACAACAGATCAGATGAAGAATTCATAGAGGAGAAAATAGACAAGATCTTTGCATCTTATGATTGGATAGCCTCCTACCAGAATGCCATTGTAGAATGCTGTTTTAGAAGCTCCTCAGACCACAGGTTACTCTCCCTTAATGCTAAACCTGAGATCAGTGAGCAAGTCCCTAGGAGGTTTTATTTTGACAAGAGGTGGCTAGGCAGAGAAGGGGTGACTGAAGCAGTTGAAGCTGGATGGAATGCTGCTCAATCTGGTACACCAATGCACCAAGTATCAGAGAGGATAAAAGCTACCAGATTATCATTGCTGAAATGGAGTGCTACATTCAGAAAGACTCAAATTATGGAGAAAAAGAAGATCTCAGAGCAACTAGAAAGCATGAGTACTCTTGGGGCTGCTAGAAATTGGAGTGAATGGAATAGGCTGAAGAGAGACCTTGATAAAATCACCAAGGCTGAAGAGGAATACTGGGCTCAAAAATCTCGAGTCCAGTGGATTAAAGAAGGTGATTCAAATACAAGGTTTTTCCATGCTCTAACCATCCAAAGAAGAGGTATAAATGCTATAACACGACTTGTGGATGAGAATGATCAAGTGATGGACAAGAAAGAAGATATCCAGCAGCATATTTGTGATTTTTATGGAAAACTCCTCAGCTCTGAAGGATCAAGTGGAGATAGAGAAATTCTTCAGCTAATTCCAGAATGCATCTCTCCAGAAATGAATGAAAATCTCCTTGCCCCAGTCACAGAAGATGACATCAAAGATGCCCTATTCAGCTTGGATCCTGGAAAAGCTCCTGGTTTAGATGGTATGAGCCCTTTATTTTTTCAGAAATTTTGGTCTATTATTAAAAGGGATTTTTGTTCTGCTATTCTTAGTTTTTTTGAGTCTGGTATTATTCTTAGAAATTGGAACCACACTCTTATCTCTTTAATTCCCAAATGCTTAAACCCTTCCTCTCTTAAGCAATTCAGACCTATTAGTTTATGTGGTGTTGCTTATAAGGTCATCTCTAAAATCCTTTCTACTAGAATTAAACCTTGTCTTGACTGTTGTGTGAGTTCTAACCAATCTGCCTTCATCCCTGGAAGGCAGTTATTGGATAATGTTGTTTTGGCCCAGGAATCAGTTCACTTCTTAAATAGGCATAGATCAGGCAATAAAGGATTTATGATGGTGAAGTTAGATATGGAGAAGGCCTTTGATAGGGTAGAATGGGAGTGTGTTAGGAAAGTTCTTTTAAAAATGGGGTTTCGTTCTACCTTTGTTAAATGGATTTGGGCTTGTATTTCAACTGCTTCCTTCTCTTTCAGCCTAAGTGGGGAGGTTAAGGGTTATATTTCTGCATCTAGGGGGATCAGACAGGGAGATCCTCTTTCCCCCTACATCTTTATTTTGATCTCTGAGGTATTTTCTAGATTGCTGTTGAATGAAGTGAATAATGGGAGATTTCATGGGCTTAAAATTGCAAGAAAGAGTCCTGCTATATCCCATTTAATGTTTGCTGATGACACCTTAGTTCTTTGCCAAGCTGATGCTCTTCATGCTCATGCTCTGTTATATATCTTAGACAAGTATCACTTATTCTCAGGGCAAAAAGTTAATTTGGGGAAGTCTTCAATTTTTTTCAGTAAAAATATCTTGTGTTCTCAGCAAAATTCCATCTGTCAGATACTCAGTGGCATTCAATTCCATAGATCTACCAGATACCTAGGACTCCCTCTAGGTATTGGTAGATCTAAGAAGGAATCTTTTGATTATGTTCTTAATTCTGTGAGATCAAGACTTCATAGCTGGAAAAATCAATTTCTATCTACTGCTGGGAAAGATGTTTTACTGAAAGCTGTGATTAGTGCTCTACCTGTTTTTTCTATGTCTTGTTTTACTTTGCCTAAAGGAGTTTGCAAGGAATTATCTAAACTTTCAGCTAGATTCTGGTGGAGCAAGGGGGAACAAATGCCTGGGATTCACTGGAAGCAATGGAAGGTGGTAACTCTGCCCAAAGATGTTGGAGGGCTGGGTTTCAAGGACATAGGTCTCTTTAATGAGGCTCTAATTCTCAAACAACTTTGGAGGTTAGCAACTCATCCCAATTTGCTAGTCACTAAAGTTCTAAAAGGGAAATACTTTCCTGACTGCTCAATTTTGCAAGCTAAAAGGCATTATAACTCCTCTTGGTTGTGGTCTAATTGGCTGTTGGTTAAAGATAAATTCAAGCAGTACTTCAGAGTGATTGTGAGAACAGGCAACTTTATAAATGTGTGGTCTGACCCTTGGATCCCAAACTCTACTTCTGGCATACCTGAAAAAACTGATGTGGGGTTTAATACTGTGAAATGGGTTTCTGAGCTTATCATGGAGGATGGCAGATCATGGAACAGAAGGCTCATTTTGGACTGCTTCTCTAAGGAAGATGCAGAGGCTATACTGGAGATTTCTTCTTTAGACCCCCATCTGGCAGACAAATGGCAATGGACTCTAGATCACAAAGGTAAATTCTCAGTTGCTAGTTCTTACTCTAAACTAGTGGCTGACAAAATCCAGAAGCTTGACATTGCTGGTAGCAGTTCTAATGCCTTGTGGGAAAAGAAAATCAGAAACAGAAGCTGGGGACTTAGGATCAAGGCCAAGCTTAAGCACTTTATTTGGCAATGCTATAATAACTCTCTGCCGGTTGGTTTTAATTTGAAGCATAGAGGAATGGATGTTGATCCATGGTGCTCCAGTTGTGGCCAGGCCTTGGAGACTGTGGAGCATATTTTTCTGCACTGCAACAGAGCCAAAAGTATCTGGAGACTAGCCTCAGTTAACTGGAAAGAAATAGAAGAATCTGCCCCATTCAGACATTGGTGGTGGACTGTGTGTGCTGTTGATAGAAAGGAAATTTCTGAAGCGAGGATTGAATTAACCACCTATATCCTTTGGTGGTTATGGAAATCCAGAAATCTTTGGAAATTCCAACAGATTTGGATGCCAGATAGTGTGGTTATTGATTCTGCTCATGCTGATTGGCAAGAATTTGTTTCTGGCAGGCTTGCTCATGAATGATCTATGATGGAGAAATTGTTGCTAGGTCCATTGGTTCAGTGGTGCTCTTTCTTCATCTACTTGTAACTGTTCTGTCTCATTATTGTCTTAGTCATTATTGTCTTGAGCTTTTTGTTGACAGTTGCTGGTTTAAGTTATTGTCCTAGGGTAGATAGAGGTCTCAGTTACCACTGCCTCTATTTTGTACCAAGTTATGTTTGATTTGGGAGTTTAGGCATCTTGTTAGATGGCCTCTGTTTGTTTGTTTGTAATGAACTGATAGGGTCTATTTAGACTCTCGGCTTGTATCTATTTTTCTGTGAAATGAAGCATCTATCGTTGT